GGGGGGGGGGGGGGGGGGGGGATCCTGACTGCTGGAGAGCATGGGGGCAGAGGGCAGGGGAGAGTTCACTAGAGAGTCTTCCCTCACACTATACAGACTCTCTGGAAGCAGCTATTCTGGCACTCCCTCTAATTCTGTGCCCAGGGTTGGTACCTCACTCACACCCCCCTAGTAATACTACTCTCACCCCCCTCGTTATGCTACTGCTAAGCATCCTGACAAAACACGAAGACTGTGGGAAATGTGACTTCCCTATGCTTCATTTTAATGGGCATTGTCAGTCCTCTTTTGTCAGAAGGCCCAGAAATTAGCAACCCCATTTCACCTTAATAATTTGACTGGGCTAGGCATTGAAAAGATGGGACTAATTCTAACAAAATGAAGGAAGATTTCAGAAATGAATTTCTTACCACTTACCGTCTCCTTAATCGGTATCCATCCCATGAATCTCCCTAGACAACTAAAAGGACAGTGGCATTAGTAATAGTAAAAACTTCTTCAAAAACACTGAGTTTACATTTGGCGCTTGGACTTGCCTCTCCTTGCATCCCATTTTATTCCTAACAGAGACACAGCAAGAGCGGGCCCCTGGGGTAGCTGTGACACTCCTGATGGCCTAGTGGCTCCTGCTCCTCTGTGGCTCCTTGGGGTACCCTCCCTTTTCAACCTTGCCTACTGTGCCCATATGTCTGTTATATGCTTCAGGAGACTGCCTTCAGGAACCAGGGCTCCAAAGCGAGCCTCAGCCCCAGCTGTCTACTGTCCCCGTGCCTGGCTCACACCAGTTGCACCCCTCTGGTGCTAAACATGGCCCTCCTGGCCCTGTCCATGCCTTAGGGCACAAGCTTCCTTAGGGGCAACAACAGTAGTTTCCATCGTTCCTTACGGCTAAGCCATGCCTCTGAGGTGTCACTCAGTATCACTTTGGAGGAGGCCTCCAGCCCCAACTCTGTGCTTTGCCCCGCAAGCCTCTAACTTGTGTTTCAGCTTCTGCCTTCTCAGCTTTGGCCCCTTTTATCTGGCTGAGCCCTCAGCCCAAGTCCACTGCCTTGGACCTTGGCTCCTGGGCCCCAGCCATATTTCTCCTTCTCAGACTCTGGCCCCTGGTCCTCTCTCACCCTCTTGGCTCTGGGCCCTTGGCCCTGCTTTCAAGGTGTCAAGCCCATGGGGTTCCTGACCCACGCATGGCTGCTCTCACGATGCTCATCTTGGTCCTTGACCCTCACAGGACTCTATGCTTTGTGCCTCTCAGGTACCTCTGTGTCCTCCATAATCACACCTATAGCCACTTCTTGGTCCCTCGGTATTAAACATAACATAAATTCAAGCAACTGCTTCCAACTAAAAATCTCCCCACTCTGGGTCATTACCACACCACAAGCTGGATTTGGTACTGAGCTGCCTCATCTAGCTCTCCCAGGTAGTTTGGCTGAGCCTATTTGCTGCATCCACCCCCTCCAGGAGCTCCTCTCCCTGGGGAATGCAGAGTCAGACTGTGCTCCTTGCTCCAGACTCTGGGTTGATATGCCTCTAAGCACTACCCTTTCTGGTCAATCCACCTCTTAGCCACCCACAGGGGTTTCCCCTTTGCTTAATGGCCAGCCTGCCCCTGCCGCAGCCCCACACAGCAAGCTTAGCCTGCTGCACTCTCCACTTCAAGTGAAGGAGCCTCTGGCTCCCCGTCACAGTGACTCCAACCCCAAAACCCCAGGTTGGAATATCCACACTGGCACCTGGTTTTCTATACAATGTGTGTAGATCAGGCCTGGTGTCGAATCTTGAATGATGGCAGTGCTGTTTCTGCACTGGCTTCTTCATTATTACACCTATTTCTGACCTGAAAGCTGTCTCATATTCATCAGTGGATATGGCAGCACCTTTCAGCAGGTCCTTTAGCACAGGAAAAACTGTACAGTGCAGCTTTCCTTAACTACAGAAGTAAACTGCAAATCCCTCAGTGCAGGCGAGGCAGGGAACCTGTGCTTTTCTGCTATATCCATCAGGCATTGCCCATCCACTGTTTTAACACACTGTAACTGCAAATTCTTCACCTTGACTGCTAGCAGGCCCTCACTAATGGCAGAACCTTCCCCTTAGCTCAGCTAGAGTAATAAGCTGCTTCCACTGATGCTAATGTCTTCACCTGAACCTATAGACTCTAGAGGACACTAGTAGAGAAAAGCCAGAATGTCCCTTTGTTTACTGAAGGAGCCTTTATGATTACAGCAGAGTATGAGCTCTGCTATTGTTACGATTAAGATTTCCTGATTATCAGTTAGTCTTCCAAGGGCTCTAAATTCCATATGCTTATCTGGATTGTCCTGAAAATTGCTATGCCTGTCAAGGTCCAAGGTAAGGACATTGGTCTAAATCTGGATTTGTCTGAACAAGTGGGTCACAGTACCCACACTAGCCATTGACTAACTATCCCTTTACTATTGATTTTTCTGATGTTTAACAACACTTCATGCTGACACTAAATAGCGTTAGTTACTTATTTTAGTTCGTTCACACCCAGTTGCATTGTTTAAGAAACAATTTTCAGAAATGTCAAGTTTAGCCATTTTTCACATTCTATAAGGCACAGGGAATACACATCACTGTAGCTCCATGTTAAATACACAAAAACTTCACTTAGAAAGTTTTATTATTATCATCATCATCATCATTATTTAATAAAAAAATCCTTATTAGTGGTAGTTCTGCCTGAAACCTTTTACATAACGGCTCAGGTACTGACAAAACTCAAAATGCCGAGTGACAATGGGAATGTTACCATCACAGTATCGTTTCCACTGGCCGTTCAATAAGGATGCTGAGGCTTTGTTTAAGGAATTCCAAGATTCGACCCCTTCCTTTCTACCTTCCCCCCACAAAAAATGAAGTTGGATCTACTCTCTTAGCCCTGTTGATATGAAGACATGTATATTCATGTCACGGAGTGGGGCCTGTGAGCAGCCGTAATCCCGTTAGCGCCCCCTTGCCATGGCAATTAGGAGATCAGCACCCTCTAATTCTCGCCCGCCATGTCTTTGATCTTGTATAAGGTAATATGGGAGGCTGCCTATGATCTCCTGTGATCTTAGGGTGACTCCGTGCACCCCAGCCTTATGGGCTATGTGTGCCTCCTACCTCCCCTGTAGCACGCCCCAAGCCTCGCAGCTGTTCCTGACATTCTCGTGTCTCAAACTTCCGCTAGCCCTCCCCGGGCTTCACTCTTACCGGCTGGCCCCCCCAGGGCCTATGCCACGCGCTTCCTACGCTCTAGCCCCTCTTGTCCCTCCCTGGGGCCTTTATCTGCGTGCCTGTGGCTTTCCCACTAGCTGGTCCCGCGCTCTCGTGCCCGTGGCTCTCCCAGAGCCTGCTTCTGCCCACTCGCACCCTTGGCTCCCGCCGAGCCTACGCGCCAGCCCTGTCTCGGGCTTCCTGGCGCTGGGGCTCAGGTGGCACACAGCCGTGCCTGGCCCCTGACCCTTCTCAGGGTTCCTATGCCACGCGCCTCTTGTACGCCTGCCCTCACTGGGCCTGCTCCACACTGCGCGCCCTTGGCTCCCACCGAGCCTACGCGCCAGCCCTGTCTCGGGCTTCCCGGCGCTGGGGCTCAGGTGGCATGCAGCTGTGCCTGGCCCCCTGACCTTTCTCAGGTTCCTAGGCCCTCACTGGGCCGAATACTGCCCTCTCGGGCCGGGGTCTCAACCCCACACACTGCACCACTCTGGTGCCAAGCTGCTGTGCCTTCCCGGCGCTGCTCAGTGCCCGCACAGGGCACCCAGGAACCCCCAGACTACTGGGGAGCTCCTGTGAGGCCTCCTCACACCCCTACAGCCTCACCCGGTCCTCCGGATGATACACACAACTGAATTACAAGCCAACCGGCTGCAACCCAAATCATAAGCCCACCGGCTATAACAACACAATCAGCCTACCGGCTTCTACATCGAGTCCCAGCCGTCCTGGCTCTCAGGCCAAAGCCTTCTAGTCAGGCTTCTCTCCGCCTGCACCATAATGCAGCCCTCTATGTGCCAAGCGGCACAGCTCAGTCTAGCTCTCCCGCAGAGCTCTTACACACAGGCTGCCAGAAGCGAACTGCCAGCCAGGCTCCGGCCTAGCTGTTTATAAGGGGCCCAGCCCTGCCCCCTTCCGGTCACATGGCCGACCTGGTTACTCCCACAACCCACAGCTGAGCTGCCCTGGTGATTGGCAGCTGCTCTAATCCTTACTCAGGAACGGGGCACCCAAGTGCCCCCGTGACAATTCATAAGAAGCCTAAATTTGTATTGCCGTACTATACCTGGCTGTCTTTTGAAGTGTCGAAGGCTGTACACCACACCACCTAGAATTACCAAGATTACTACCACAACAGCAACCATGGGTCCTGGTTCAGTTATGCCTATAATCTTCTCTGGAACTAGAAAAAACAAAACAATTTAAATGAATCAAATGGAAGTACCATAACATATGCTTGCATTATAACCAAGAGTTAGTAAAAGTCAGACATGGTACTTCTGATGCTAAGCACAGACAATATTAATAAAAAAAAAAAGGAGGAAGCATGAACTGGCATATACACCATTCCTAACTTAAAATTGTTCAGGCCATGACAAAAATGACTCTTAACTTTGACAGCAACATGAGTGCCCCTCCCCACCCCTCACCAGTTTAAAAATAATAAAAAAATATTATCTCTGATTACACACAATAAACATAAACTGCAGCGGTCTTATCCTAAAAACGGAGTTAGAGAGGGGGAGAACTAAAGACTGCATAAAGTCTACTGTTGTTGCACTCTTATTAATAATTTTTCATGGCAGGCATTCAGCTACTGCCAGGATATAATTCCTAGTAACCAAGTATACTATAGAGAAGCCATAAGGTTACTTCAAGCTGTGCCGTGCCTGAACACATCTGTGGCACTTGGGATCAAAATAGTGGCAAAGGTGGCTACAAACTATGTCTTCCTGTCCTCTCGACTGCACAGACTGGCCCAACTATGAGGGCTAGGGACCAGCCTGTGTGCACCTCTGCACTGTTCCAGTAGCCGGTGTAATGCTCACTAAATAAATCAATAAAAGCAGGTGTTGTGGCTGTGAAGGGGAGACCTCCCCTTGCCTAATAATTTAGTCTGGTATAGTGTTAGAAGAAAACTCTGTTCTTGAAACCTGAGAATATGTTTTCATTCTTGGCTGTTATCCAGTCCTCATTTAGTGCTCTTAAACACATGAAAACATTATGAGAAGACTCCAATTTCCCTTTATGCACCTAAATGGTATTTCTACAGCCAAATAACTGCCACTTTGACACCTGTGCATGCATTTGCTGAAAGTAAAATGGAGGAGGACAAGGAGGGCCACCCATATTTTAGCCCAATAGCCTAATGCTTAAGGCACTTGTAGATGGAGCAGGAGACCAAGATTTAGGGCCCAGTTTCTAGGTGGCTGAATCTGCACCTACTTCTTCCCAACTCAGAGCTCTAGCCACCAGGACACAGGTATTATCCAAACCCCTCTCCAGTCCCTCTCTTGAAGATGACTGACTGCAACTTGCATTTAATAGCCACTGGATAAAAAGAAAGGGTAGCAGCGCAGCGTGGAAGCTTCTGACACAATGGGAGCAAGAGTCCAGGCTAGAAACCAGGGCTGCCTCCCATCCAAGGGAGCAGCCATCTTACTGAACCAGGCACTTTCTTGGTCTTGCTCTTCCTCCTCCCCCTGTTGGCTATTCACTTAGGTGCGTGAAGGAAGCTGGGATCTAGCTCTGAGAGTCAAAATACTCCCTTTAGCAAGACAGATGTTATCTGCATTTAAGAGACAAGGAATCTCAGGACTGGTGTGATGAGTGACCTGTCTGAGATGAGTCAAGTGAATGCTGAAGCTGGGGATAAAACTTAGAAGTCTTCACCCCCCACCCCCCTTAAACCACTAGAATATGCTCTCTCCCTCAAAAACAGCACACAGCATAGTCCAAGCAAGGGATTTGACTTCCACATGATAAATGCAAATTCCTGGCCTTCAACCTGGTTTTACAGGGTAGAGTCAAAATTTAGGGTTAGAGTCAAAGCAACAAAGGATGCTTTATTGGCTGTGGTTCAGCTGAAGTTGAAGAACCATGAGAGCAGCTCTTAGCAAAATTCAAAACCATCCTGAGCCCTGATTCAGTCTTAAACCCAAACTTCAAACCTTGCCCTAACCCTAAACCATATGTAGATCTGTACCCCGCCATTTCCTGTGTCTTCTCCGATTTTAACACTGTATGATTTTATTGAGTGTCCGGTAAATGTCATCAAATGAATTCTCTAAGTCAAAGTCTGCTCTCAGTTACTCTAGCGTAAATCTGACAGAAACTCATAGACTAGTCTATGTTTGCACCAGCGTACGTGAAAGCAGCATCACAGTTAAGTCAAAAGTCTTTAGTATCCTATGGAAAAAAACATGGAGAGTGACTGACCAGCACTGTTGTGATAGGCATGCGTGGCAACTGCCCGAGTCTCATTTTCAGGTAAGGTAGGGAAGAAGCCATCCGGAATCATGTTGGTTATTTGGCACATAATGTTCTGTGTACTGATGTCATCCTTGGTATTATCAGGAGGAGCTAAAAAACACAGCAGTGGCAATCAATGAGAATTGCAGCTTTGTGGTGGAAGAAAAAAAAATCAGGCTGCTTTAAACCAGTAACTAGCAGTTCAACAATCAGTTTTCTTTGCACTGAAATTATTGAGTTGCCTTTATGAGCCTGATACCAGTCCTGTGTGGGTGACCCTGCTTCCAGATGTGAGACCCAATCTCTGGTTTAAACCCAACTGCTGCAAATGAATTTCTGTGGGGCTTATAATTCCATGTGTAAATGCCAACACCCAGTTGTGGCTGTAATCACTAGTTTGGGAACCACTGGTCCACACAACATTGTTTTAGATTTGAAGGAAACAAGAAACTAAATGGGGGGAAAAAATAATCTCAAACAAAGAGAAAATCTTATGAAACAAGCGCTAAAAAGATGATTTTCAAGAACTGATAATTATTTTTTCCTGATTTGTAAGTATTTTGTGGGCTAATGAAAGGCAAGCAAGGGGGACTAGGATCAGAATCAGGTCAATATACAGTGCATATTACTCTGGTTTGCTAAGCCTCTACTGTACTAGCAGGCTTATTTTGGCAAACCAGTGTGGAAAAAAGGAGTTTCTTCTTTATTCTTTTCACTGGGGCAGAGAAGGGAAGGTAGAGTTTGCTATGCAAGCAGAGGTCAGTATTACAGGCCTCTAAGGCTTTGGGTTCCTGTCTTATGAACAAATCTTTGTAGCTCTATAGCATGCAAGTCATTCTCTTTGAACTCCTTGTCTCCGTGCGGCCCACCACGAAGCTCATCATCAACTACTGCTGCTTTGTTCTAAACAAGGATGGATTCTACAGCACCACTGCCAGCAGTTACTGGTGGGTTCTAGGGACATTCAAGCGTGATGCCAATAGCACTAGCTGGAATATATTAGACCGATGTTACTGTAAATGAAGAGAAGAAGTAGTTTGTGGTAGGAGAAAGGGGTCTAAAGAAGTATGACATGCAACAAGGGAAATTTACAATGAAAAAAAAAAAAAAGCTAATGGTGACACCACTTAAGACTGTGGAAAACTGTTACAAGAAAAGCGATGGGGAACGCAAAGGGAAGGCATATTCAGCCGGCTTCTCAGCTGAGGCAAATAAGTGAAACTTCATTGACTTTTTTCAGGTATATCAGTCTGCACTACCGGCTAAACTTACCAGCTACAAAAAATCATCTATGAGATGACCTAACAAGTATTTTTTCCTTTAAGTTTTATTATCCTATAACAAGGCTCATTTACTAAACTGCAGCAATATCATTTGCACTATATCTATAACATGCAAGTCTGATATCCCTTGCAATTCCACTGAATTCAATGCGATTGTGCAGATTGTTAATCAGAGTCGATTTTTATCATATAACTGCTCATTGAAGTATTTTAAATTCAGGCCCAGTGTACCTGAGAGCCGCATTTATCTGAAATAATTTACTCTTCATATTGATATCTGCTTTAGTAAATGATTTGTCCGAATGTTTGCTTATTTAATTCCCCCCCTGCACACACACACTTTTCTGGTCCAAACCCACAAAAATATACTTTCACTGTGTAATCCATTTTCCACCTGAAACTTACCTGTAAACTTCACTCGTAGATACCTTTCTACAGTCGGTTTGCTCCCTGCGATCAAAATTCTGTAGATTTTCTTTTCCAACTGTGTTGTGTTTTTTATGCGCACAATGACATCCTGTTGATAAATACTGAGACAAAGGCTTGCATCATTACTGAGAAATGTTCTGGCTGTATTGTCGATTCTGACAGCATCGCTGAAATTTTCATCTAGGCAGAGCGGATCACACCAGGTCACTATCACATATAGAACATTATTGGGACCACATGACCAACTGGTACGGCTAACACCATCTAAGGGAGAAAACAAATGAAAAATAATGATTACCTACCCTTCCGTGTCCCAAACATTTCACTGTTAAAGCACATGACAGACTTAAGACAAACCTTAGCACTGACTTAGGTGTTAGTACCTCTGCCAACTAGCAGTTTTTATAAGGTGTTTTAGCTCCCTTTCTTTTGCTGGCAAATCCCAGTGCAGGGGCTAGAAACACAGCAGGTAAGTAAGTACTCTGTGCACTGGTGCAGCATCAGCTTGAATTGGGAACCTAGGGATTCAGTGAGTGCATTGAAAGGGAATGTCTCTCTTATTAGGTTTGTAGCTGCAGTGCCAATCTCATCTCTTATGAAATTTTCTTTTCTTATTGCCCTCCCTTTCCAAAAGCTCTTGAAGCCTAACCCACCTTTAGCATTAGGTGACTGACAGACACCTAGACCCCCGCAAACACACCTGAGAACAGAATCCTCCCTATTAGTGGCTGGTTGTGCTGTCACCTGTCATTGCAGTTCATTCAAGCTTCAGTATTCCTATGGGCCCTAGGCAGCAGCTCTACCGGATGTGTGAAACAAGACCTTTCCTCTGGCTGCCCTGGAAGGAGCTGTGACCTCTGGGGTGTAGCTGCTCACTTCCAGACAACAAATGGGAGCTTGTGATTTCTCAAAATCTAATACACCTGCTGAATTCAAACCACGCTGGTTTGACAGGGCTGTGAAATAGTCCTTACAGAGTCATTTATTGCCTCTCCATGCTGAAGTGCAGGTTTTTGGTCAAATTGGATCACTTCCTTTCCCTGATTTTAGTAGTTTCCCATTCTCAGAGCTTCTAGCTTTAACTGGGCATTGCTCAGCTTTCCCATTCCAGCATCAAAAGATCTTAATTACTACTCTGAAAGGATCAAATAGAGGTACTCACTTGACAAAGGAGAGAAAATCTGCAGAGACAGGAACAGAAACCACAATGGTGTTACAGGGAATGATCCCATCAGGATGTTTTGTATGCTGGGTCCAATGGGTACTTGCTCAGTGATCCACAGGTGAAAGGCACATAAGAGCTGTTATGTAGTGTTAAATCCAAACAGCAGGAATCAGTGCTCTGTTTAGAAACAAACTATAATGGTTAAGAAGTCATTCCTGCCTCTTTCATCTTAGCTTATGTTCCTTTAGTGAGAAACAGGAGACCCCCTGAACCATACCTCACCACACTGCCCTATCAGAACAATATTGAGTACAGCCTTCAGGGCTCTGCAACTATTTTCTTATCATGCCAGATGCAAATGTTTGCAAGCCAGATTAGGTACCTCTGGGTGGGTCTACATGAGACACTAACTATGCAGTAGCCTAATAACACTGTGCAGTAGTGTCCTAGGCAAAACCCATGTTAATATGCTACTGCGTAGTAGTATTAAGATACTGCAAAGCTAGTAGGGGTGTGCAAAGCTTCAGGTGGTGATTTGATTCAGCCTGATTTGGTGGCTGAATCTCCGAATCTGAATCGAATTAGGGGACCAGTTAAAAGGTCCAAATCAATTCAAAGCTCTCCAAATCTTTGGAAAAGATGATTCGGACAGTCCCCACCTGCTGCAGCAGGGAGCTGGAGTCAAACTTGGAGCTAGTACGTAGGGGGCGGAAGAGGGGAGGCTGGAGGAGTGGGAAGGGGACCATGGAGCGACCCCTGCCAGGACCCATCCCCTGCCTGCCCCCCAGCCCCTTAGCGCCCCCCCTTCCACCCATGGCTGCTCCACCTGCCCCAGATCTGACCCTTTAAGAAAAAAAATGAGAAAAACCCCAGCACTTACCACTCCTGCAGCAGCCTCAGGGCTTCAGGGGGCTTGTGAAAGAGCCCCCCATGTGGCACAGGGCAGCGGGGATCACCCACCACAGGCAGGAACAGTGAGTGTGGGGGTTTTCTCAGTTTTTTTTTCTTAAAGGGTGGGAGCTTTAGTAGGCGGGGCTGCCATGGGGGGGGCTGGGACAGCAGGGGTGGGGAGTCAGGGGGGTCATGCAGAGCCCCCCATGCAGTGGGGAGCAGTGTGGGGCAGCAGGGTTCACCCCCTGGCCCGGCAGCAGCCACTGTGCTGGGCCTTTTTGTTTTTTCGAAGAGCTGGGGCAGGCGGGACAGCCATTGTCAGGCTGGGAGAGCAGGCAGGAGATGGGCCTGGCTGATTTGGAGGAGCCGAATCTCTGAATCAGATTCGGCCAGATCAATTCAGGATAGTGATTCAAATCACTGTCCCCTGAATCAGCCGAATCCGAAGCAAATGCTAGCCGCTTCACACCCGTGTGCTGGTGCTACTGCACAGTAGCACCAGTTACTGAGCACTGATTTAGTACCTGGTTAACTTAATGCACAGTAACTACAGCTTATTCGTGGTGTAGATGCACCCCCTAGGCACATATTCTCCTATACAATGTGCCCTTTACATACTGTTGATGACAGACGTCAATAATGGTGCTTGGATAGCAAGACATCTACAATACTCCTATCAGCTCCATCATCTGCTTTCCAGTTGGCTAATTGCTATATTTTCTCACATACGGTGTGCCCTGGAATAAGATACACACACCTTGGTTTTTTTAAAGGCAGAATGAAGAAAAAAAGATGTTTCTTTGTAGTAAGTACCCGAGTAGCAGCAGGTAGGGACCTGAGTCTGCTCATTGTTCTGCTCCCTGTGGACTGCACACAGACTTGACTTGCATTTTCCTTGGAAAGCAGCAGAGACTGCTGTTACCCTATTTTCTCTCACGTAATGTACACCTCAATTTCTAGCCACTGATTTTTCTGAAAGTGTGCTGTATGAGAGAAAATATGGTATGTGGCATTTATATTTTTTTCTGAGGAAGCAGAACACAATACATACACCACTGATGGCAAGCCCCAAGCACATGCCTTGCAGGCTAGATGGGGGTAATAGCCTGAACATGTTAGAGGTGTGCCAGCCAGTGGCTGATGTATTCAGTTTGCTTGTAGTTCAGAAAGTGATCCAGGAAAAAAATTGTGTCATTTCAAGCAAAGCTTTGTTTAACCTAAATGATACATTTTGTTTTCAAATTTAAAGGTCACTTAATTACTTTTAAATAAAAACTGAAGTAAATGTGGAAGGAAAGGCTATCCACATTTTAAGGTTTATTTTAAAAAATGTGGACATATTTTTATTTTGACATTATGTTTATCTAATTTCCTTGATCAATATCTTACAATGCATCAGGGAGTAATAAATCAAAGATACTTGAAGCCAGCTAATCGTTTCCTGAACGCTCATAAACAAGCCTGCGTGTTTATTTTTCTTCTGACCAGGGTTAAGTGTGATGTGCCAGGTGATTAAATACTTGTCTTTGTCCATTTAGGCCACGAAAGGGAGCACTGCTTCCTTTTTATAAATGAGCACACAAAATTACAATGGACTTTTTAGTCTTTGCAATAACACAAACAGAACTGTAAGTATTTATTCTCCTCCCGCAGAAGAACACAAGAGACTCCGACTGACTGCGGTGGAACAAACTGCATCTTGCAGTGAAAAATTAGGCTCCAAATATTCTCTCTCAATTTCACAGTGTTGCCCTTGTGGAAGATGTTGCTCAAACACAAGTCTCTTATCTAAAAATGTAATTGAGTCCAGTGCCAGACAATGACAATTGTGTGTGAAGTTTTACTACTCAGCTATACTGCCATTTTAAAAGAAATCTTCTTTAATGATTTTTGTCTTGTGATACTGATTAGCCTATGGTACTGGCATGGGGTTGGCAGCAGTCTACATCAAAACAATGTCTCCTAATAAGGTTGAAATTCAATTTTAGTTTACTGGTAACAGACAGACAGACAGACGGAAAGAAAGAAAGACTTCTGACTTTTAAAAGACCTTTATTCCGGGGAGGGTGACAAATAAGGGGCAGTAGAAATCATGTACAGGTTGATCCAAGGATCTCAGGGATAAGGCCTGGGCTCATGGCCTGCAAGGCCTGCCCGCACACTCTAGACAAAAAAGAAAAAAACACAAAGAACAAAAGAAGTATGAAATAAAGTTGATGAAGCGTCAGTGTCAGGACTTTCCCTATTAAGAATGAGGCTTATGTGAAAGCAATGACTGACACTTTTATCTACACGTGCCCAATGAAGCCACTGAGCATTAAGAGATAAGGAGAGAGACAGCTTGAATCCCGGCACTTTGTTTTAATTACAGGCTGAACTTTTGCTCCAGCTCAATTTCTGACCAGTGGAGAAGCCCCAGGACGCTACAGAGTGCTCCCTGACTCCTAGTCTGGAAAGCGCAGGGAGGCTCAGAAGCACCCCCTCCTCCACACCAAAACTGTACTTCTGCCATGTTTAAGAGTGTTGTAACTTTTTATAGTGCTATAAAAAGATACTCTAAGATACTCTAAGTTGGCGTCCTCTCTCTTCCTTTATTTTTGTAATATCAATTGGTTCAGTATTCAGATGCAAACTACCTCACAGCACCTCTACAGATGTATCTCAACCCAAACTTGCGGTGCCCCATGCTAGCTACTTCAACACAGTTCTGTTGAAGAGTCTTAATAAAGAAATGCAATAATCTCTGTTCTGTTCCTAACCTCATGCACAGCTCTGCCAGGTCAGGCAGGCCACGGTGAAAGAGGTGCAAAAGCAAAAGGGAAATGGTAAATTTTAGGGACAAATCTCTGCAAATGCCCACCACCCTCACCCGGCTCTAATATTCATCTGCACAGCCATGCATTTGGACTTGGCTTGCATGTTACCATGTTTATGACAGCAAATACACATGAAATATTGGGAGAGCATTACAAAGCTTCCACATGGTGGCCTGTTTCATCTGAACTTTCTGCTTATCTGAACTTTCAGAAACACCAAGAGCTACTGGCCTTGAACAATAGGACCAAATGCAACTGAAGATGGTAGAGCCTGCAAGAATGGGAATCCATTCATGTTGCAGTCATACTGAAAGCATCCACAAAATGGCCAAATGCCTGAGGAGACCTCAGGTCCTCTTTTAAACCCAGCAGCAGATTGGTTGCCCCCATGCCAACACTGGGAAAATTTTCAAAAGCAATTCAGTGATTTAGGAGCTTTAAGGCCCATGTTACAATGGTATTTAGGCTCCTTTAGGCACAGATATATGTCTACAGCAATTTCCAGGAATACCCAAGCAGGATAGGCATCTCATTCACATTGATTTCAGTAGCATTGAGGCTTGAAGTCATGTAGGCAGTTTTGATAATCACACCTCTTTGCATCTTTGGGCACTTAAAAAACTTTGAGAATCTGGTCATAAGGCTCCTAAGTCACTGGACTCTTTGGAAAAATTCACTCATCACCTTTCTCCCAGTCTGTTAAAGTATCATATTGTGCAATAGCAAATATTTTCCAGAAAAGCAACTAGATTAGATACTATATCACATTATCCAGCTATAAACTGTATCAGTCAGCTAAAGGTGTCAACCACTAATACTGCTCAGCTTATTTTTGGTCACAGTATCTCTTGTACTTTGTTCCCTGAGTTGGTTCTGCTGAAGGGCTTTAGAAAACAAACACTTTTATAGCTTTGGAGTACTATCTTACAATGGCTTCAGCATTTTGTGTGAGCTGCTGCGAGTTCAGACCGCTCAAAGTATTTTTATACCTCATTTATGTTTCTCTGGGGAAGTCTGTTCTTGAGCACATCTGCATGCTCATTACCTACTCCAGCCCATACATGCCCAACTCAGAAATTAGGTGGCATAGTTATTTTGATGGTGCTTTGTACACACACACAACCCAGAAACAAGGCAGCATAGCTATTCTGATGGTGCTTTGTGCCTAGCAAAGAGCTGTTATGCATTGTACTTCTGCACTCCCTCTGCCTCTAATCACCAGCAAAGTTTTGGGAAACACACCCAGAATGAAATGCTGGTTGTTTTTCACTTTATCTCTAACCAAAAGGTCCAAATCTTTTGTAAAACTATTTCAATTTTATCTCACTTAACATTTATCTCTGTATCTTTAATAACCATTTCCTTCAAAATTTGTCCTAAAGCCTTGCATAGTTTTGAAGTCAAATTACCAAGCCCCATAGTTGCATGGATCACTTCTTCCCATAGCTTCTTTAAATATAGAAACTATAC